CTGACTTTCACTGGGGCTCTTTAATTAATCAGAGTGGCACAGTGATTTTCACTCAGGTTTTTTAGCCATAGAGGCACAGTGACTTTCACTCAGGCTCTTTAGCCAGAGAGGCACAGTGATTTTCACTCAGGTTTTTTAGCCATAGAGGCACAGTGATTTTCACTCAGGTTTTTTAGCCATAGAGGCACAGTGACTTTCACTCAGGCTCTTTAGCCAGAGAGGCACAGTGACTTTCACTCAGGCTCTTTAGCCAGAGAGGCACAGTGATTTTCACTCAGGTTTTTTAGCCATAGAGGCACAGTGACTTTCACTCAGGCTCTTTAGCCAGAGAGGCACAGTGACTTTCACTCAGGTTTTTTAGCCATAGAGGCACAGTGATTTTCACTCAGGTTTTTTAGCCATAGAGGCACAGTGACTTTCACTCAGGCTCTTTAGCCAGAGAGGCACAGTGACTTTCACTCAGGCTCTTTAGCCAGAGAGGCACAGTGACTTTCACTCAGGTTTTTTAGCCATAGAGGCACAGTGATTTTCACTCAGGTTTTTTAGCCATAGAGGCACAGTGACTTTCACTCAGGCTCTTTAGCCATAGAGGCACAGTGATTTTCACTCAGGTTTTTTAGCCATAGAGGCACAGTAACTTTCACTCAGGCTCTTTAGCCATAGAGGCACAGTGACTTTCACTCAGGCTCTTTAGCCATAGAGGCACAGTGATTTTCACTCCGGTTTTTTAACCATAGAGGCACAGTAACTTTCACTCAGACACTTTAGCCACAGAGGCACAGTAACTTTCACTCAGGCTCTTTAGCCGTAGAGGCACAGTGACTTTCACTCAGGCTCTTTAGCCATAGAGGCACAGTGATTTTCACTCAGGTTTTTTAGCCATAGAGGCATAGTAACTTTCACTCAGACTCTTTAGCCATAGAGGCACAGTGACTTTCACTCAGGCTCTTTAGCCATAGAGGCACTGTGATTTTCACTCAGGTTTTTTAGCCAGAGAGGCACAGTGATTTTCACTCAGGTTTTTTAGCCAGAGAGGCATGGTGATTTCATAAAATTTTCCTGTGAAAACTCTCAACTCGTGTATATTTCTAGCAACAAAATTTTGATGTTTTTTTTTTAAATTTAGTGTAAACAAATCAATTCCACATCTTTCTGTTTTTACAGCGCCATGGCAACCAACCCACACTTACTGCAGATGGAAGAAGATGTACTTTACCATTTTGGTCTGTCAACAAAGAAAAATAATTTACAAGCAATGTTTGGAGAAGTTAAGGTATGTGTATACACATGGACGTGATTATAGCATGACGTATAGTTGGTAATTGCTTTTTTTCATAGTTTTAGTTGTATTTGTTCATTTAAATGAATTAAGTATGTGAATATGGCTAAAAAGTAAGAAATTATGAGTGTTCAACAAACTGATATTTATTTACACTTTATTTACTGCATCGCAGTGAGTACCCACGAAACCTGATAGACTAATATTATTGTTTGACTACCAGCTCTTTTAGTATTACATAAATATTGGATAGCTCTCAGTATTAAACCACTAAATATACATGTATGTATATTGTATATTGTAAAGAATACCCTTCCTAAATATGCCTCATGAATAACAGTTAGCAACATAAATAAATCAGGGATTTTTTAAAACAAGGGAACAGGGGTGCAGCGCCCTCATGCCATGGCCATGCGGCCCCTTACCCTGGGAATCAGATCCTCTGGCAATCATAAAACTCTGATTGACCAGGGATCACATGTGGCCACAGTATTCAACTGTGACCTGTTTGATAGTAATTTTGGCCCTAAGGAAGCCATAGAATGCTCCATTTTAACTTAGCATTATCAAAAACTCCACACCCTGGTAGGGAGAACTCTATCTCTCCCACTTGGTGGTGGCGCTGAATTGCAGCGCTCCCTCTTGCATTTTTTTTCTAGAAAAAAACCTGATAAATGCTACAAAAAATAAGTTGAAATTGTTGAAGACAATGATCAACACTATTCAACAACAAATACAATATACAAAGTACTAAAACATTCCGTGGAAATTCAAGTTATACAGTAAATACCAAAAAAAAAGAAATCTGCTTCAGAAGTGACTCGTTTTGAATTTTGACAGTCAGTACAATATTAATTAGCAAGCTGTGAATACTGCAGTACATATTATCTCGAATTTATATTTAATAATTAACAGGTTAAATAAAATGCATATGTGCACACTGTTAAATATAACACATGCTAGATGTACAACTTCTGTGGTATAGAGTTAAATTACTATCTGTTTATTCTCGAAATACAAATATACAAAATACTGTTCACCTTCCCATTGTTTCACATACATCATTTGATAACACATTTTGACCAATTAATGTGCTTTTAATACCTAATAGATGAAATTTTACTGTGAGAATGAGCCTGTCATCATGTTATATCATTTGCAAGTCAAAAACACTCTGTGAATGTCCTTATTACAGATTAATTGTGGAAAAGTAAATTGAGATTGAATATTTCTTTAGTTTCTGGTGCATTTTTCTTCATTATAATTTGCATTTTAACACTCCTCTCACATTTTCTCAGATGTTACAGATGACAAACACAGGGTTCTCCCCAGAAAAAATGCATAGCGCCGGGGCTAATTTGCATAATAATTTGCATATCATTTACATATCTTTCCTTCATTGATTAACAGAACTTATTTACAATTATGAATATTAGTGAGCTCAGTCACAGGGCAAATATTTTTTTTAATGGAATCAACACATTATGTTTCACAATTTAGAAGAGTTTGAAACATTCTCGAAATACAAATGCTGCAGACTAAAAACATGTTAGCTACATGTATTAGTATTAAATTAGCAAGTTTTGTCTAATTTTACTTTGTTTAACTAGAATCTAGACATAGCCTGTTCGTATTTTAATTATACCGGTACATCACAAATATCATATTTTATGCATAGTCAATACAGCCAGCATTTAATGACAGAGTTGCTCAGTTGAGTCTGGTTTCACATAACAGATCCAAATTTGTAAATTAAAATATAGCCATATAAGTTCCAAAATTGATTTTAGCTAAGTACCTATCTGCGGTATTAAATCCAAATAGGGATAGAAATTCAACACAATTTTATTGTTTCAAAAGTGTTATACATAATAATTGACTTGGACACATGTCATCAACGTTTTAGATTTTTTATTACCACTACAATTTATGTAGAAAAAATGGCTGAAAAAAACACACCAAACATCACATTTTTGAATTTGATTTTTGCCATGTAACCAGGACACATGGTAGGAAATTGTTACCATGGAAACCACTAGTAAATAGCTCATGGAGATTTGGCCTGTGTCTTGTGCATAAAATTAAACCTTATCTTAAAAATAAATGATAAACAACGACATATACCGGTACCTTAATTCCACATTTTACAATTGGTCCACATCACTCAGGAGTTCAGATGTCTCAATTACCTTAATTAGAACATTTTTGTCTAAAATGTCAGTGTCATAAGAAACTATTTGCCATGTTTTGGGTGTAAAACAATAAATTTAGCAGAAAACAGTAATATGGCCTTGTCTAAAATGGTTGAACAAAATTAGGACATTTTGAAAAAATACTCGCAAAATATTGCTAATGTTCTGGTGAGCATGTGAATACCTGGGAGCAATACACATAGTGTATCTCAGTGTAAATTATAATCTTATCACAAGTCATTGTACTTAGTAGCATGAACACATCGTTTTACCTCTTTATGTCATTAGGTCTATTTGCAGGGCCCTCAAATTTCTTAAAAATCAACTGCTTATAATAATTTGAAAACCATCTTTCACAATATATTTTATCAAATTTTATAATAATGCGCCCATTTACTAAAAATTAACTAAGAAATTACATGTAAAAAAAATGTGCATCCAAAATGCCAAGATCCTTTCTCGTTTAATCTTTTTTAGCTCCGCTGTCGACTTTGTCGAGCGGAGCTTATCATATATGAGTGATTGTCCGTTGTCGTCGTTCGTGTCAATGTTTTATTTTTTCGACTTCTTCTTGAAAAATACAAGCCTGAATGCTTTGATACTTGGTGTATATGTACCTTGGGTAGACCTCTCTCAGATTTGTTCATTTCATGATGATATCGTCAATTCTCTAATTTTGGTGAATATTTTTGTAATTTTTGGTAAAAAGTGATATTTTCGACTTCTTGTTGAAAACCGCAAGTCCAATTGCTTTGATATTATACATATAGGTACTACATGTGGACCTCTCTCAGATTTGTTCATTTTCTAATGATATCTTCTGTTCTTTAATTGCCATGTGCATTGCTAACAGCGGAGCTATCTCAGCCGACAGGCTGCTTGTTTATATTTACTCTAATATACCGTATTTGCTCTATTAGTAGCATATGCACCTATGTTAATAGACCATTTTCCATTCACTGCAACAATCACGCGTTGCGTGAAACCGAATTTAAAAACAGGACAAACAAAGGTCATAGCCTTGTAGTGGTGTCAAACATCACGTGGGATTCGACAAACACGAAAATATTTTGGGGACATTTCCATGCTTAATAATGTGCTGTACACATTTGATGATAGACAATTTTGATTAAGTAAGGGTATTCGGAAGCAATATTCCTCTGTCTCAGATCAGCCGGTTGATGTGAGCTACAAAATGAAGAAATTCAAGTTCAAAATCAAATCGTTTGATTTTTGCGGCAGACGTTTGACGCGTGTCTTTCATGCATCTCGCGAGATCTCGCAGTTGAACGGAAAATCACATGCAATTTTTGGTTTATATGTGCTTCTATTTACAATGTGCTACTAATATAGCAAATACGGTAATACCGAGTATATATTATTTGTAACATCTGTCTGGTATGTGTACCTGACCGGTTTCTTATTCAATAAACTTGACTATATATATGCAATAAGTAAATCATTGGGATAACCTTTCACCTTGTGTCTAGGTCAGTGTTTCAACCACACACAGCGTTTAAAGCACCGCAGACGACACGTGGTGCGTATTAAAAATTTTGTGTAATCGATGTATTTTACAGGTTTAATGTAAACAGCCCAATCTTAGGAATTTTTTGCAATTTCATGATATTACCAAATTTCGGGAATGACGCTGATATTCCATGTCATATGATTCCAGAGAAGTTTCTACTTATTTCCATTCTCTCAAAATTGAAACGATTGATTGTATATTGTGTGAGAACAACCAGATCCGAATAAATTAACTAATTTTTATTCAAGTCCACAAACCTGTCTGTGATTACTGTAGTGTATATAGTAACACTACACAAACGTTAAAATATCATCATTTTCGACTATTTATTATATCATGTGACAGGGATTAAGATGTATACATGTATAAATATGGGGTCACCGTCCTCATTACAGAGAAATTGATTCATAAAATACAGTGAAAATAGCATTTTTTGTCTGTTTTTAGGATATTTATCATTGTTTCCTATGGCAAGAATATATATTTCAAAATTTTGCTTGGTGACATATGGTAAAAAAAAGATATGCATTGTATAGTGTCTTACAAGGTACTATTTAATATCTAGAAGTATTCAAAAATGTACAATATATTTAGTAAGTTGTAAACAAGAAATGTGCTTACATTGTGGTCTCTGGAAACCACTGCTAAAATGTTAATTTATTCGTATTATTTTATCATTTTTCTCAAAAAACAGATTGACAGTGAACTGAAAAAGTTCACGTACTAAAACTATTAATTATAAAAAAATGTTGACACAGAATATTGATAATGCCATATGCGCTAAAATATGCACACATGTGAAAACTTTGCACACCGCATTCTACCTTAATACATTTGGATTCTATAAAATATGCACACATGTGAAAACTTTGCACACCGCATTCTACCTTAATACATTTGGATTCTATAAAATATACACACATGTGAAAACTTTGCACACCGCATTCTACCTTAATACATTTGGATTCTATCATATAAAGTTAAATAAAATGATTTTTGTGATTTTCATAAACCTGTCTATGGGGAAAATTTTTTATGCAAATGAGCTAAAAAAAAGTATTTTTTTTATATGCAAATTAGCTCCACAAATTTATTTCCTTCTAGGAAGTGAATAACTGGAACTTAGAACTTATTCTGAAAACCAACTTAGATGTCATTTTCACATCCTGTAGTTTTAAAACCTTGATTCAGTTCTCACAAAAACCTAACGTAAGAGTATGACTCATTTGAGGAAAAAAAAAAATTAAAAAAGAATTTTGTTTTTCCCCAAAACTGAAAACACAAGATTTATTTTATTTTGCCTAATTGTACTTTCTGTAAGTGTACTATCCAATATTAGCATTTGTACCCAAGCTCAGGGGAACATTTGACGAAGGTTAAGAAGGCAAATAATCTCCTTGCGCAAGTGTACTAACACCCATATTCACTGTGGTATTTTATTACATGCCACTCAGATGATATATAGCACCGCCATCTTTAACAAGCATTCACTACGTAGCAACGCTTGTTATAGCATGGTACATAAAGGTCAAAATACTGACAACTAGCAATGGCTACAATATGTGTTCACAGCATCAACTTTAAGAGCTAAAACTTCCCAGAATTCAATTCAAACATGATCGTTTGATGATACATGAATCACTTGTGGTGTAAGTCGTAACAATCATGTGACCATGAATTAATGAGTACATGAATCTTAATCCAGTAATTATGCAACATGCTAAAATGCAACATGCTACAAAAACCTACAAAACCTATTCTATTCTATTCTATTCTATTCTATTCTGTTCTATTCTATTCTATTCTATTCTATTCTATTCTATTCTATTCTATTCTATTCTATTCTATTCTATTCTATTCTATTCTATTCTATTCTATTCTATTCTATTCCAAACACCCTCCTACATGTCTGCTGCATACCTCAATACTAATAGTGTACAACACCAAAAAAAAAAATTGAAACAATATGTTTTGTATTATTTTTGTTCATTATAGAATAGAATAGAATAGAATTCCATGCAAAAATTAAGTATTTTACATTAATACAATAGTAACTTATTTTAAATAAACCAAATACCAGCAAACTAAAACTAACTTTATTATTAGGAGAGGAAATAAAAATTAATACATGGAATAAAGTATGAATCATTTTTCTACGAATTCTTCTTAACCCTGTGACCTGTGATGTGTGCAGGTTATCATTATTTTGTTATCAGATATGCTATTGCAATTATTAACTCTTGACCTCTTGTAGATTGACCAATGTAAACACAGTATTCGATGACACGCCTGTTCAATTTGTTTGTGGCTGATGAAAATACAGTTGTTGAATGTTGTTTCTTTCATCATTTTATTTCTTGAAAATTAGTTCAATGTCCTAATATTTTTCGAAACAAATTTTTTCGAAAGGGTTTACTGTGCGTAACTTAGAGGTTCAAGCATTACAGTGTGTTATGTATGATATATTGCATTGTATACAACATATGTAAACTTGTGTATTGGTGAAATAATGGTATATGATTCAAGTTTAATATGTATGTATAGTGATATGCATAAAAGATCACATGATCTTGTAAATAATGTGTGCGTCAATCAAAATATTTCAACCAATAGTATCACAGAATACAGTGAATATTTATAAATGTTTGATTGCGACAGAAATGAGCAAGTTTATCGCCATATGCTGTATTTGAAAAAAGAAAAAAAAAACATGTAGTACATACTACTAGTATGTGAATGATCTGACCTGATGTGTGCCATAATGATCAGTGTGGTCGCCCAGCATGTGAGAAGATGCTGGTTGGCTGCACAGTCAAGCAGTAACAAAAATAGAGTAGATTCTGCCCACTTGCCAGGCTTGTGGCATTCGTACAAGAGAATGGTGCCTTTTCGGAAAAAGCTGTTGGTCCTGTGCACTTGTTCCTACATGTATCCCCAGTAAATGGAAAGGATTCAGTTGTTTCGGCAAGACAACTTGTGTATCAATGAGTTGTGCTGTCCTTCATATTCAAGTCTGTAATTGGAACTGAACCCCTTGATAGGAAATGACAATAACCAGTTCTTCCACACATTAGGTATTTTCAGAAAAGTATGTTTTATCTTGATTTTGTTATCGTCTTGCAATTTGCTTGACATGAAGTCTTCATCTGATATTATGTCACTTGCGTATTCAGTAACCCTCATTTTATAAATCCTTGTATTGTTTGTTTACACAAGATTTGAATGACTGCTACGGTACATATACGTGACGAATCGACAATCCTGACACCAGATTTTCCATTATGGCAATCAGTTTATTCAATACGTGATGGTAGTCTGATAAAACATGGCCGTCTGGCAGCCATTGTCATTTGCTCTAACCTAAATAAATGTTCGTAACTGCTTTCTGACATTACTGTATTGATTTAATTCAAATTATTTTGCTTATGGTAATTGATTTGAGTCAATCACTATGTTTATTTCACTTTCACAGTATTTAATTAGTCTCTGTGTGTCAGTGCGTCTGTGCGTCCGTGCATCCGTGTGTCCGTCCGGAGTCATATCTCATAATCCCTTGGACCGATTCCGTTCATTCTTTGCATGTGCTTAGTACCTTATGTGGGACATATGCACATGCAGTGGTTTAGCGATTCGATTCAAAATGGCTGACTGGCAGCCATCTTGCTTTTTGAAAATGTTGTATTTTGGACATGCTTTGTCAGTTTTCATTCAAACTTGGTACATAGATTATACATGTTAGGATACAGGTCCATGATGATTTATTTCACAATTGGATCAAAGATGGCCGACTGGCAGCCATCTTGTTTTTTGAAAATGTCGTATTTTGGACATGCTTTGTCAGTTTTCATTCAAATTTAGTACATAGATCAT